AGGTATTCATGAGCATTTTTTTATTATACACTTAGGCCAATTAAGGTTTAGCTTTTATCTACAGTCGAAGTTGTCAACATAATGAACATGAGGAAAGTGTGTGTTTGCTACTTGAGACAATGGTTTCTTGAAGTATTCATGAGCAGGAGACTGGCTTTAGAATAACTTCAGAATGTTATAATTAATTTCAGATTTCTTTTTAGTATTTTGACCCCATATTAATACTATTCCATTCAATTTCAGGAAAGCAAAAACTGGCAGCTCACCCTAGGCTCTGGAGTTCATCCAATTTGCCAAGTCACTTTTGCCAAAAAAATAATAATGTGGAATTGAAGGCTGAAAATTACAACAAAAATGTAATAAAGATATTGTCTAGTGGATATTATTACAAAGCAAAATATATGTGCTAGACATCAAAGGTCATGTAGCACTATAGAAAGGTGTAATAGTGAAAAGGGTAAAAAGCTGATGATTACATGAGCTACATGTCAGAAGTCGTATAGCAGTTCAGGAAGATAGGGTTTAACAGGGGTGGTTAGATCAAAGTTATCAAAGGAAGATGTGTGGGATTTTGCAAGGATGTCTGTAGGGTAAGTTAGGGATTAGTAAAGAAGAGAAGGGTTTAAGAGCAATTAGATCACAGTTTCTCGGAGAATGTCAGGAGGGAGAGAATCCAGGGAAGGGGTTTGCTGGACAAAGGGTCACATCCAGGAGGAAGAGGGAGGGATAATAGTGAGGGAGGGGATGATGCCGCTCAGGAATGGGAGAATAGGATGTATTGAGAGGAAGTGGAATGAAGGGGTGTAGAGGGAATGTAAGAGGAGGATGGATGTTGGCAGTTACTTTGAGTGTAGAAGGAATGGGAGAAGAAAGATTGGAGGATGGATGAGGCATAGGCATGTTATCTTGGGTCACGATTAGATAGTTTTGAATGTCTTTGAGAGTTTCTGTAGTGGAGTTGGTTGGAGAGGTCCGAGACACAAAGGTTTCCTATGAAAATTTAAATTTTTTAAAAATAATTTAGTTTGATTCCATTTGTTACAATGGATATTCTTGTGCTGACATGCTGTCTGTTTTGTTTTTGCTTCTAAATTACCCCCTGTGTGCAAGGAATGGCCGGGGTTACCATCCACTGATGGCGAGGGATTTGAATGCAGGTCAGAAAGATTGCTAGACGAGAACGCTACCGCTGCACCACAGCGGTAGCGGGGGAAGAAGAGGGGACAGTTGTTTGAGGGGTGGAGAGGATGGGGTAGAAGATGGGATGGAGCATTTAGCTGGTCTTGTGTGATGATTTGGGTGAAGAGGAAGAGGGGTAAGTACTGGAGAAGTAGTGATTGGAGTGTCTGGAACAGTGTGGGAGATCAGGATGTCTGGATTTAAAATGGCAAAAGAATTTAACTGGGAAAGGGTAGGGTAGAAGTGGGATGAGGAAAAGAAGCTGGGAGGAAGGGGGAGGGGCAGTGCAATTATTGGAGCGAGAGATAAACCTCATCGACATGCTTCCTATTATGAGAGCTGCCACAAGTGTTTGGCAGGATCTAACATTGACAGGGGGAGGTTGATATGATCAGACAGGGAGGGACTCTCTGCCAATATATATATGTAAATGTACACACACATTAAAGAGGAGGTCATGTCTACAGAAAGTAAATTTGGCAATATTGGTGGAGACCTACAACAGCCTATAGGGGGGATGGTGTAGCAATGTATTGATACTGTATCACAGTCCATGAGGTAGGTGAGTTAGTCGTCTCCATAATCTGACCAATTTGTTGGAGATGGAGACTGTTCCAGTGCAAATATTGAAGAAGGGATGAGGATGGGCAGGAATGGGTTTGTCAGGGAAGTCAGTTAGGGTTGATAATGCTATAGCTTGTGATTCAAGGTAACTGACAAGGGTGGAAGAATCAGGGCAGATGCTAAAGGATACTTTGCCCACTTGTTTTTGGAGCTGTGGGAGGGATTGCAGAATTTTATCCCATTTGGTTGGGCTAAATATAGTATTCAAGATATTTGTAGAGGAGGGGGTAGTAGGACAGGGACATGTGGAAGAGGGAGTAGTGTTGAGAGAGCTAGTACTGCAGATTGGTGGACAATAAGGTTGCAGAGTTGTAATAAGGGAGGATGAGGTAGTTGATGAACAAAGTTGTGGGGGTGGAGGAGATAAAGTACTGGATGTTGGGAGAGTAGTGGAATGTTTCCTGGAGAATGAGTATTGACCTGGATGGATGATTTGGACTGGGCTGATGTGATAGTAAGTATGGAGGAGGGGATAATAGTAGCAGTATTCAGTTGTTGTTAAAGGAGAACCTGGAATCGGTGAACTTGAATTCAAATCAGTGGGGCTCTTTGATAAAGGGGTAAGCTAATGCAACTGTTCATGGTACAAAATCTTCATTACTGGCTATGGTAAGGCTAGGATATGTTAGGGAGAGAAATATTCCACCCCTCAGGAGGGGCAAGGGCTAAACAAAAACAGGAATACTGTACCCATGACTCATGACTGGCACAAAGTCAGCGTTTGATCCTTTCAATATGGCTCCCACACCTTAGAAGTTGAAGGAAATGAAAAGGGAAAGGGGAAAAGACCGTGAGTTGAGTTGAGGCCCAAGGCAGGAGTGATCCTCAGTACTGAGTCCCTATCTCGGTATCTTTCTGCTATCCCCCCCTCCCTCCCTGCAACAACAGGCATTGGATTGGGGTGGGGGTGGGGGAAAATATTGTCTATGTATATCATTAAAATATTTAAGCACAAGTATTATGAGTCAGGTAATTAGAATAAAACAGCGACTCTAATTTGAGTACTCAAGGCTTACCATCTTTTTCTTTCCTGAGATTAGATGTACTGCAGTCAATACTTTACCATACATATAAATATATTCACACATAAGACAAGGTGTAATATTTCTGTTGATATATTGTATGCTTAAAATTAGTTTATTAATTATTAATTTTTTTAATGTCATAAAAAAATATATATATTTCTCAATTTGTTATTTGTATTGAATATCCTGTGAACACTATTAAAAATTATTGGATATAAAAACAAAAGTTTCATAGTTCAGTATTAATATTTTATACAACAGAAAGACATAAAGAACAATTAAAAGAAAGATATTTTTATGACACAAATATTTTTAAAAACTATCTCTAAAGAAGAATAAAAGATTCTATATATAAAACTAAAATAAGTGTAAAAACAGATAGTTTATTATTATACACCAGGCATTAACATTGGGCAAATCATAATCTACTAAAAATATGAGGCCAATATATGACCATGAACGAAGTTGAAAAAGTTTTATTAGATTTCTTAAAATTACAAATTCATGGTATTATACTATCAACTGGAAAGTCTCCAATATTTAATATGTAAAACAAACTTTTCATAAAAGACCCATTAATTGTTCATTATATGTTAATCTTGTAATTATTGTAAACATTTACTGACAACGTAAACTTTATATATATATATATATATATATATATATATATATATATATATATATATATATATATATATATATATATATATATATATATATATATATATATATATATATATATATATATATATATATATATATACATATTCATATTCATATTCATATGTATCTTATATTCTCTTCTGAATAATCATTATCGCAAGATATACCAGTCTCCTACTAACAATACGTGTTATTACATACTAATATTATTCCATCACTACTTATACTCTATCTGAGAAACATTAAAAAAAATTCATATAAGACTAATTTTGTGAAAAAATAAAGGTATCACATAGACACTCATTTCTTTCTTTATATAGCAAGTTATAGGGACTACATGACAGAAAATATGAACTTTTTATATCTAAATTTCACCTCATGTAGCATTGTAGTTACATAAAAAAGGGTATGCCACCCATACATATGGTCTTGAATCCAAGATAAAGTTAACAAACAGGTCTTAATCTTCTAGCGTTACATTTCGGAAGAGGTAGCTCATGCTCTCATTGTTGTGGATTCTGCGAATGGACTCTGCCAGGAGTATGCTGATGTCTACTGTCTTGATCTTATGGCACTGCATCTTCTGGATTTCATGAGGAACTGTGTTTGTGACAACAACCTGTCACCAAACAAGGACAATCAGTGTAGTAGATTTATCCACAAGTTAAGTGAACAGGAATTTGGAGGAAACAGAAAAATACTAATATTAGTAATTTATTCTTCAAGATGAGTTGTATAAAAATATCAGCATGATTGAAATATATGTAAATCATATCAGGATATTTTTTTTTACACCATAGCACTAGCTGCTCTGAAGTTAGCACTCACAAATATCATCATTTTAGTATATAATACATGGAAGATGGGCCAAGTGGTGATCAGAGAAACAAGAACACAAAGACTTGGAAAGGGAAAACAGTTATACAGGGGATGCAAGAAGTGACACATTGACCACTGTAACAAACCTCATCTATAGGTGAATCATCTATAAGACGTGGAGCATCCGAAGACAAAAGGCCATGTGTTGCCATGACATATATTTTGTATGCACCACGGTCTTTAAGCACTTCTGCAGCAGCCACAAATGAAGCAACATCATCTATCATGTCATCCTGTAAAATTTAGGCAACTATTATTTTGAAAATACAAATAATGTTCTCCAAAAAGGATGCAATAAATACAACCACACCCAAAAGAACATAATATTTTTGTTCATTAGAATATAAATGATTAACACCAATTTGTATATAAGAAGCAACTAGGGTTTGAAAAAAAACTCACCACCATGATAGCAATACGACCTCCTACGTCTCCAACAACATTAATAGGAGGTTTTTCTTTTGCTGCAAGAGCAGGGACACCAACACCCACATCCATTATTCGTGAATGCTCGACTAAAGGAGGGGAGTTTCGACCATCAGCTTGTTCATCTTCATTGGTTTTCTGTTCTCCATGAATAACTGCAATGCCTGAAAATCCCCAAGTATTATCCATTACAGGAAAAGATCT